ATTTAGGGAGCGTGAGAGAGAAAGGGAAAGACAGAGAGAAATGTCAATGTGAGAGAAACACATCGATTGGTTGCTGGGGAGGAGCCTGCAACCAAAGTACATGTCCTTGACCAGAATCAAACCTGGGACCCTTTGATCCACAGATTGACGCTCTATCCATTGAGCCAAACCTGCTAGGGCCCCTTTTACTAGTAGGTTTTTGCTGTAACATTATTTTCCTGCTCAAAAACTTGTGTGCTTGGCTGTTTGCCTACTGAAGTTGCATATCCTCATCTGGCCTTCAGTGAACCTCATGATTCTCCTCCAGTCTTCCCCTGCCTTTCCAATCTTCTCTTCTTGAAACTCTTCATACACTACAATCAGAGCTAATAAATTGTGTCCCACAACATGCTTTTCACTTTGGTATACTTACGCCATGGCATGTGTTGTTCTTTGCCTAGGAAATAACCCCTAACATTACTGTGTGTGTGTGTGTGTATGTGTGTGTGTCTGTGTGTGTGTGGTGTGTGTGTTTGTCTTAAGGCCTCATTCAACTTCCTTGTCTTCCATAAAGCCTTTTCAGATCCTCCAGAGAGAATTAACCTCAAATTACTTTGTATTCTCAGAACTCCTTTGAAAATTGTTCTTAGATCTTGTGTTTTGGTATTGGCATTTATTTGCTTTTGTGCCTTTATCCTCCCTGAAATTGAGAATTCTTTAGATGTGTCTCATTCATCTTTGTATTCTGGAGTGCTGGCACAAAGTCTTGACTGTACGGCAAGTGCACAATATATTTTTGATGAAGGATTTTTAAAATTTAGCTGTGACTTATCTTACAAGGCTCTCTATTGTCTAATATGTGTGTGTTAGCCAAGCCAGATTGTTCCTTTGTTGTTTTCTGAAAGCACTCCATGATTTCTGTTATTATGTCCATGTGGAACCCTCTGCTTGGAATTCAACCTCTCTTTCTTTGCCACCAACCCCAGCCTTCTCTTTCACCCTTGTGCCATATCCTAGCACGATGTCTGACATATAGTTGGCATTCAACAAATGCTTGTTGAAATCCTGCCCGTCATTCTAACCTTATCTGATCTGTACCAGATTCATAAAATCTTATTTACCCCACCCCCACTCCCAAACCAGATAGGATCTCTCTGGTCTTCATAACCCCATTGCATCAATTCTGGGCCACTTATAGTCACAATGAGCTTGATGCTGTTCCCCCTTACAACTTTGTCGTTGTTGTTGCATTATTTGAAGTCAATTAGTGCTCCACGTTTAGGCCTATTTCAGGTCACATTGGGGTAAAAAGGGAAGAATGGTAGATTCCACTGAGGATGTTGAGATCAGATCGTAAAGGGTCTTAACTTGATGTTAGGGATTCTGGGTGTTCTGTAGAAAACAAGGATCCATTGGAAACAAGCAGAGGAAAGATCTGATTTGATCCTTGTGTTAGGAAGATAATCCAGGAGGTCCTTAGTACTTACCCTTCTGCTAGATTAGAAATTCCTTTGCACCAGAGGGCATCCTGACCCTCCTGTCTCTGCTGCAATCTCTAAATACCCAGAGTTAGCTCGATGGACTTGAATTCACTGGTGAATTAACTCATTCAACAGAAGCCAGCTCAAACCTGAAAGAATGGAATTTTAAAGAGTTGTGACAGGAAAAGAACCCCAAGGTGGCTCTCTCTTTGATTTTAAGTCAAAGTGCTTTAAAAGAAAACTGTATTTTCTAATGTTGAAAATGATACAATAACAGTCCACAGTCATTGCGTCATGATTAATTGGTTCTAGTGATTCAGTGAAAGTGAGAAAGCACTCATCTTAAATAAAGGTTTGTACACTATTGTATTTTTGGAAGAAGAAATTGGTTTTGAGTAAAATTACAATCCAACCAAAACAGTATTATAAGAAAACAAAAGTTTGATAACCTGACACGTAAAGAGAAGCTTTCAAAGAAAAACGGCCTTCTCTTAGTTATGAAACCTTTTAAAATCCTTTCAGAATAATGTCTCTGATTATATACAGAGAGGTGATCAGTGCATTGGAAATAGTAATTTAATAACTTTAAAAAGGGCACTTTTAAAGAGAGATTCAAGCAGAGGTGATGGTTACCTGTAGGGCATTTTATGGTAGAATCATGATGCTCATTGCAGTAAAGAAGATACTAAGAGGATTAAAACATGGGTAGAGAGGAGGGAGGCAAAAGCCAATATTCTTGGTGGGTATGTTTTGAAATTGGCTTGAGATAGAGATATCAGTGCCCAACCCCTTACTGTTTGTTCAAATCTCTTATTGACAAGTAAACCCTTTCCCACAGAGAGCAATTTGGAACATATAATCCCTATTCCTAAGGTGGGAGACAGATATAACCCTGACAGTTACAACCTGTTGCTCTTTTATCCATTTCTAAAGAAGATTTGGAGCCTAATACAATGAACTATTTGGCAAATACATCTTTCAACAGTTCTGTATTGCTCCTTAGATTGGCAGCATTTTTAGATTGCCCCAATTTAAGGGCAATAAAATTATGTTTCCATAAAACGGATGAAATTTAAACTTCACATTAGATAATGTAAAAGAAAAAATCATATGCCTGGTTATGGGAAAATATTGCAGAAAAATGGACACTTCAGTGTTTGGCAGGCCACATAGTTTGCAAAAGGAAAAGGAAATATATTTTGATCCTAGCCTTTCAGTATGATCAGACATCATCAGGATATTAGTGACAACTTTCAGTATGAAAACAGCAAGAAAATACCAAGTTGTAATTTTTGAATCATGGCGTGGTTATTACAAGTTAACTAATGAATTCAGCAGTCATGGATGCTAGCAGAATATATTATTCTGTATTGCACAAAGGAGGCTGGGAAAGGCAAACAAGTCTTTACTGTCCTGTTTCTTTGGAGAGCAAGCCAGTCAGAAATAGTATTTTTTACAAATAATTCGTATTGTGGAGAATACAAAATTTTAATTTAAAATTTGAACTGATTGCTGTTAGGATAGGATACAGGACTTTAAATAAAACCCCAAGTCCCTTTCATATTTTTAGATCAATAGTTAGAGGCTATTTAGAGACTGCTTACCTAGATCTTATAGTTGCTTTATTTGGTTGCATCATTATGTGCTCACTGATATTTTCTGCTTTCAAACTGTTTCAGTTTTCCTCTTTGGAGTGGGGTGGATTGATCAGAGAACGGAAACAATAGGAGTGAACATCAGAGACAGGAAGAAAGAGATTTTAGAACATTTCTTATAGTTGTGATTTTAATTTACATATCAAATTATTTGACTTGGCCCTAAATTCTCTAGAAAAAGTATAAAATTTCTACGTAGCAAACAACTTGTTTGGAATGGAGATTGTGTTTGACTTATGAGCTTCTCCTTTCAAGAAAACTTTTATTGTTTTGTATTTTGTTCCTCAATAGATCTGTAAGACAAGACAGGCGGTTCCCCTATTGTTTAGAATTTTGAACAGGAATATTGAAGGCTACTCCATTTTCATTAGTGATTTGGGAAAATAAAATTAAACAAGTTTTCACTGGCCCAGCATGTGTACACTTCATTTTTATCAATGGCAGCTTCTCTATCAGCACCGCTTATTCAGGCAAGCATTATCATAGTGGTCATTTAAAGGGAAATAGGTATTCAAAAGAATAAGAGAGAATTTCCTGTGTTGTTTCTCAATAGGACTTAAAAGGATTTTCTAATGGCATATCTGATGGCATGGATTTAGAAATCAGTCTCCACATAGATGCTTTTGCACACACACCTGTTCATGCACACATGTGTGCACAGGCTCACACCTACACACACACAGAGTATATTATGTCAGAGCATTTTTGTTTTTCAGAATTCCAATTTTCACAGTTGTTTTTTTGTTTTTTTTATCTTCCCCACCTTCACAAATATTTGGTCTAAAGCTAAGCAACTGGATTAAATTAAAAAGAAAAAAAGAAGGTGAAGTCATGAAGAGAAATTTAATGGCCATTGTCAGTTTTAGGTGTCCTCAGACATGGCAGGATTTTCTTTCTCTATAACACGAAATGCAGCTGAGCTAGTGGCCCTGACTGTGTCTCGTCTATGCAGAATCACTTGGGAACTGTCCAGCAAACTATCTCTCAAAGAACAGCATGGTGTTGGTACTGGGTGCCAACCCAAGACAGACACAAAGGACCCCTCTGCTCTTCACCAATAAGCCAACTGTTAAAAGATTAAACCATGTTGTGGAGATAACAAGAATTTAGGCGCTGGCAGCAGGTGCTGTACAAAGAAGCAGTTGGCAGTGTGTTCCTTCTGTCTGACTAATTCCAGTCAAAACAATCTTCTTCCCAGTTGCAGGGGAGAGTGTTGAGTGTGATGGCAACTTGAAGTTAGGAGGTGGAGTAAGAGTGTTACTTTAAATGCTGAGTCCTGCGGTGGATGGATTAGTAGAGTATGGTTTATCATTGTTGAGAGACTGCGGGCGATTCCCCTCTTGAATCCAGCGACAATTGGCTAGCTGGGGAATACACAATCGAAGAGCTATAAGTCAAATCTGCTTACGTGGTGGGGTTGCTGTATCCCTAAAATTCTATTTTCACATGCAGGGGTCATGTAACATTTTCTTCTTTTGAGAAGTAATGCTCTTCCATTATAGAATAATTACCCAATATATTAGTTCTACCCTTTTGTTATCGTCTGATCACACTTGAAAATTTTTATCTTTTAAATTATAATTTAATTTTTGTATTTTAAGAAGTCATTTGCCACCCAACAAATAGCTAGTATTAGTACCAACTTACGCTTTTTAGTATTAGAGAATAGTTTTGATTGTTATTGAAGCAACATCATTTATTGGGTTTAAAGCAGAAAGTCATGTTCCCATAATCCTATACAAATAAATACTTGTACTTACAAACTTAGCATGATTACTCAGAGAAAATGAGCATGTAAGTTAGGAGATAAAGTGTTAAATTTGGATAGAATTCCTACAGGTGATACAAATACCTATGAATTTGAGAATCAAGTCTAAGTGAGAAAAGGTAGAAGGTGCACAATACCTTTGACCTATGTAGTCTGATAAACACACATGCAGTGTCTCCCCAGTCATTCCCCTCCTGTCCTTTCGCACAACTATAACTAAAGTCTCAACTTATAACCTTTTATTCTTAGGAGATTATGTGGGCTCCCAACTGTTCTCCTTGCCTTTGATATTTCCATTCTGCAATCCATTATGTCTACCCTTTGCCATATCAACCTACTAGTATTTGCTGTAATCCAGTCCCTCCTGCTTAAAAGGGTTCACTGGCTCCCTACCAAGGTCTGACTCCTTAGCCTTACACTGGACACCTTCTACAGTTTGGCCAAGTTTAATTTTTGAGCCTATCAAAAAATCCTAAGATAAGTTGATTATACATCCTTGCCTTTACTTGGAATATCTTTATATTCTTTATTATTCCTGTCAATCTGTCTTTATCCTTTAAGGTCCGGTCCAGATGTTACTTTTTTCAAGACTCTCCACTTTTTGTTGCTCCAGTAGAAATGACCCCTACCATTCTTTGAATACTAGAGTACTATTTATTCATCCATATGGAGTTTAACATGAAATTGTGTGTGTGTGCGTGTGTGTGTGTGTGTGTGTGTGTGTGTGTGTATGTGTATGTGTATTATTGCCTCTACTGTTGTGAGTTTCTTTAGGGCAGGAAAAATACAGGTGAGGCAAAAGTAATTTTACATTTGTGACTACATGAAACACAGAGTTTATTCATGCATTATTATTTATTAATTATTGTATTATTTTCCATATGAACAACTGTAAAGCTTTTATCCTACCCTGTATTTTATAATATCATGCATCACACAGTCTGGGGCCCTGCCTATCAGAACCGGTGCTCAACAGCTATCAATTGAATTGAATCAAGTGGGATTGAGCACGACTGTCTCAATTGGAACACGATGTTCCAGGATCACTTATTTTGGGTAAGTGTGTTGAGGAAGGTTAACCTTCAGAATCTGTTAAAAACGCACACTTGTTCTCATGGTACAGGTGGATTCCAGTATTGTCCTTCATGCCTCGGTTTCCATTGGAAAGTGGGGCTCCTCAGGTAGTGAAGAGAGCAGCAGATGTCAGATGGTGCCATCGACCCCGTGGCCTGCAGCCAGTGTGTGGCTGATCATGAAGGTACCTGAGAGTGTCTGTTGTCCCTGAGTGACCTCCTGTGCTGGCTGGCTTACCATGTGCTCACCTGGTCCCCATGCACACAAGCATGCAAGTGAAAGTGTGCTCAATTGCTGGCCTTAATAAATGCTCTTTCTCTGCACTTGGGTTGTCTATTACAGAGGAACGCTGTAGACCACCCTCTGAGCATTCAGTCCACTTTTAGATGCGCTGATTTGTTCATACTCCAGAGTCTATCTACGCCCAGATTAGAGCTTAAGTATAGTCCAGAGACTTGCCATTTCCCTGAGATTTGTCTGAATGTCATTTGCTCCCACTCTCAGTCTTCACTATTGTGCTTTATGGAGTCTGGTAGATTAGCACCATATAATGACAGCATGTGGTCTTTGTAAGGACAGTTTTAGAAGAAATCCCTGAGTACAAAATGTGAACAATGCCTAACAGATTTATACCTGTGTGTTAGCACTAATTTTTTACTTTATTATTTTACTTTTGGATCTGATTTAAATTGAGAGCGTATAATCACCCTCCCCTTCTCTCTTACTATTAAAATATGTTTTGTAACTGCTACCAAATATTTATGTCTGGAAAGAGATGGCACAGCCCGTATCTACCCTCCCTCTGTCTCCCTCCATCTTTCACTATAGATTAATTTTGCTTCCTCTTAGTATTTCTGTGGGAGCAGAGTCATCCAGGGAAGTTTGCTGCTACTTAGTCTGAGGTAGGGGAGAGGAGCTCAAAACTATTTTCTCAGTGAAATCTGAGATTGCCCTTAATTATTATTTTTAGTTTCCCTGAGAGTTCAAAACAAACATATAGAATAATTATGGCATAAAGGTACTAAGAAATAGTATTCATTTTACATAACAAGGCAGAATGAGGTTAGATGAGATATTTCTTAAATCTGTTTCCAACTTGGAGACTTGAAGTACTAGCCCTTTTAAAGTTGTATTTTGTGTCTGATTTGATTATAATATCTGCCATTTTATTAAACATCTGCTATATGTTAGGCATTATATGCACACTTATCTCATTCAATCTTATACAAACTGCAGATTTTCATTATGTAGCTGAAAAAAACTGAGTCTAGTAAGGGTGGAAGAAGGATTCTTGGTCTCTCTGGATTCAAAACATCTTCTCACTGTAATACAGGACACTGCTCTATATTTGACCAATTTATGAGCTTGAGGGAAGTGTTTTAGTTTTAGCACTGCACTGAACACCTGTGTCACCAATTGGACCCGTAGATATGGAAGATTCTTTCCTAGATCTTCTATTTTGTAATTCTCTGGTATCTGTTTCTAGTTTATGATATTCAAAATATATATCTGGGGAGAGTTACTTAGCTGCTCTGAGCCACTGTTTCCTCATCCATAAAATGAAGTTAGTCATATGAAAAGGCATGTTTGAGGTTCAAGCATGGTGTCTGGTAGATAGAAAGTGCTTAATAAATGGCGATTCTTTTTCTCATCCCCAGACGTTTCCTTTCTGTAACATCATCAAGTGAGGATTCCATTCAGTGCTTATATTAGAACCAAATTAAAAATAAATATTTTCTTAAGTCATCATATATTCCTTCCCCACACCACAAAACATTGAGAAATAAGTTACATGCAAAAAAGAAAACAATTTTGAAAATGTTTTTAGATTGAATATTTTTTCCTTATTTATTTATTTAAATATATTTGTATTGATTTCAGAGAGGAAGGGAGCGGGAGAGAAAGAAACATCAAAGATGAGAGAGAATCACTGATCAGCTGCCTCCTGCACGCCCCCCCGCCCCCTCCCTACTGTTGATAAATCCTGTAACCCAGGCATATGTCCTTGACCGGAATGGAAGCCAGGATCCTTCAGTCTGCAGGCTGACACTCTATCCACTGAGCCAAACTAGCTAGAACTTTTTTATAAAGTAAAATTTTTTACCTGTAAAAATAGAGAATTTTGTATGCCACAACTTCTCGTGTGTAAATGAATTCCTCAGTTGTTGTCACATTTAAAATGTTGTGTTAATTCACTAGGAAAATTGTTACATGGACAGTCAAACAATATTCCCATCAATTTCCTTCTTAAAGAATTTCAACACTTAAAACAAATGCAGCTCACTAGTCATCTTAAAATGTTTAACCCGTGGTATTTCGACCCAGAGCAAGGCTTTACGTTGTGTGAAGGTTAAGGATTTGTTTCCATCTTCAGTTCACTGCACTTTTTTTTCTGTGCATGCATATTTCAAGGAAGTTCTGTAGTTATAACTACAAGAAGTGACATGTGATGGACCCCCAATTGCTGCACTGTGAAATATGCACAGAAAGGAAGGACAAATGAAGATATCAAGCCCTGTTTTATTTTGCGCTGAACTATAAAATGCCACCCTTGTCGGACAGGGAAGCTCACTGATTCTGAGCACGGCTCACTGACTGCTAAGTTGTGGGTAGTGTTTCACTTTCAGCAACTGTTAATATCCGGGGTTATCCAGGCATAATGACCTCACTATCTGTGACACATTGTTGAATTTTCTGGTTCTTTTAACTTATTTAGACCTGTCTCCCCTCTCTATTCATTGGCAGACTGGAATGATCTTGAGCCGAGCCATAACTCAGGGCTGCCTAGCTATTGGTCATCCAATCAGAGTCAAGGCCACTGAGGGAACATTACTGGAAGGATATAAATTAATCCTCCAGAAAAGGTAATACCCATACATTACTTAGCTCAAAACAATAAATGTTCGTTTCAAAATTTCTGAACAGTCAAATCATATTGCTTAGATAGAATGTTCATTAGGTGTTTAAATTTATGTTCACAACATGATTATTAATTTTTCTAATCTGAAATAAGCTTGAAAACATATCCCACCTAGTTTGATAGTGATTCTTAGATATTTTAAACAGCAAAATGTTGGCCTTCAACATGTACCTATTCTGTAGACAAGCTGCTGCTTTACTCTATAATTATTGAACTCATTTCTTTATCTCTATTTTGATTGATAATTAAAAATTTAATGTTCTATGTGCACTCCTAACCTTTTCTCCATCTTCTAAATA